TCCTCCTCCTCCTCCTCCTCCTCCTTCTTCTTCTTCTTCTTCCTAACCAGGGATTAAACTCAGGCCCTTGTACTTTCCAGGAAAGCACTTACTCTATCAGGCTACCTTGCCACCCCTTTTCACTTTTATAGGAGTGTTAAATTTGAGTTAATTTAAATTCTTTATAATTTGAAGGATTATGCTAAGGATTTCATGGGATGCCTTGAATTTTCTTTAAATTACACCAATGTGAGCAGATGCAAATAGCAGCATTCATGTCTGGGTAGTTGCTGGAGCTGGTTAAAGGACACATGTAACTCTTTACATTATTGTCCCTGACATTTGAGTTTAAAATTTTCCAAAATGAAAATGCCTATTATGAAGAACACAGAATGCAGGCTGGGGTTAGGGGAGAATGAGTCCTTCCTCAATATTGATGGGAATGTAAATTAATTTAACCACAGTGGAAAACAGTATGCACATTTCTCAGCCAAAAACAGAGTTCTATTTCACTCAACTATTCCTCTTCTGAGCATATTCACAAAAAATTAAAGGCATCGTGATGTAGTGCTACAGGCATACCAATGTGTATAGCAGCACAATTTACAAAAGCTAAGCTCTAGAGACAGCCTAGATGCCCATCAACAGACAAATTGGTTAAGAAAATTATATATACATATATATTATATGTACATAAATATGAATACATGAATATATATGTGAATGTATTCAGCCATAGTGAAGAATGCTACAATGTCATTTTCAGGAAAATAGAAATATTTAGAGAATAACATTAAGTGAAATAAATCAGACAGAGAAAGTTAAAAACTGCATGTTTTCTCTCAAAGACTAATCCTAATGCATAAATAAATAAAAGCAGGGTAAAAAGAAGTACAAGCAACAAAAGTGGTACAGACTTTTTGAAGATGAGAAAAGGGATGAGAACCAGAGAAGGATACAGAAAACCTAAAGGAGCAAGATACAATGAAAGAAAGAGAGAGAAGAAGAAGAATGATATGAGAACCAATTTTAGTCAGGATGTGACAGCAAAATAATGCTGAGGCTGCAGCAGTTGTGGTGAAGGGAAATCACAAATGTAATCTGGCATAGTGATCCCTTTCAATTCTTCTCTGCCCTCTCTTCCAGTTCCTCTGTCTACTCTCAGTCATGGGCCAGATGTTCTCTACTACTACTGATGAAGAGCAACAAGATTTTGTTTCCAGTTTTAAATGTTTTAAAGAATCAAATATGAAGAACAGACTTATCCCTGAAGAAACCATCAGGGAGATTGAGGTGCACTTGGCCAAAGGAAATATTCAGGGGGCGAATACTGTGATTACTACTGCATTAAAAGAAATCAATGACAGCCCACTCAACATTGCTGTGACAGGGGAATCTGGATCAGGGAAATCCAGTTTGATCAATGCCCTGAGAGGGGTTGATCATGAATCCAAAGATGCAGCTCCCACTGGGGTGTGTGAAACAACCATGGAGAGAAACCCATACACACATCCTAACCTTCCCAACGTGACAGTGTGGGACCTACCTGGCATTGGAACCACCAATTTCCAACCAAAAGATTACCTTAAGAAAGTAAAATTTGTGGAATATGACTTCTTTATTATTGTTTCTGCCACACGCTTCAGAAAAAATGATATAGACTTTGCCAAAGGGATCAGAATTATGAAAAGGAATTTCTATTTTGTGAGATCCAAGGTGGACAGTGACATAAGGAATGAAAAGGAATTTAAACCATCCACATTCGAAGAAAAGAAAGTCTTGCAGACAATCCGAGAAGACTGTCTGAGTAACTTTAGGAAGAATAATATGATTGAACCACAGGTCTTCTTGATCTCTAGCAAGAATTTAGATAAGTTTGATTTCAAAAATCTAATGGACACCCTAATAAATGATCTCCCTACTCAAAAGCGCCACATTTTTATGCTTTCCTTGCCTAACATTACTGAGGCAGCCATTGAAAGAAAGCGGGAGTCTCTGAAGAAGTGTGTCTGGCTAGAAGCCTTTAAGGATGGACTACTGGCCACCCTGTCTACCGAGGGCATGTTCAGTGTCCAAGATATGGAGAAGCTGAAGGCAAGCTTAAACCACTTTCAAGTCATGTTCGGAGTGGATGATTTATCGCTGGAGCATTTGGCTAAGGATTTGCAAGCACCTGTGGAACAACTCAAGGCAATCATTAAATCTCCCAAATTGTTGGAAGCTAAAAATGAAGAAACAATGGAAAAACTTATAGGATTTGTGGAGAAATTCTTTTCAATTAATGGAGGTCTGGTTGCTTCAGGAATTTACTTTCAAAAAATTTTTTATTTGCAACTACATTTTCTTGACACAGTGGCTGAAGATGCTAAAGTTATCCTTAAAGAGTCAAGTTCAAGAGGACACTCCAGATAGGCATGTCACCCAGGTGGGAGACCACAGCATTTGGACCCATCCCTTCCCCAAAATGTCTTTGTTTTTGCCTTGTATCAATGCAGCATGACTCATTTCCCTACCGTATCAATAGTAGCTAGTCAGTTATATCTGTAGTTCTATAAGTTGTTTATAGTTTGATCCACATTGTATCCACACTGTGACTCTGTTGTATAAATTACCCTCACAAAGGGCCTACATGAAACAAAAAATCTCAATAAAAGGAGCTACAGACAAGTATCAAGAGTAATTTACTTTCTAATTCTCCATGCTTAACACAAGTAACTTTCTGTCATTTTTTTTGTTTCCTCCTTTCCTGTATTCAGAGCAATTGTCTTCTCTTGTTTTAAGCTGCTTCTCTCATTCTTTACATCACTGAGTTTGGAATCACAGGGAGCTGTGCATTCTAGCAGACTGGTAGCATGATGTGGCCAGAAGTGGTTTGTTGTCCACTCCTGGTCTTCCCATGTCTCATAGCATGACATGCTGTACAACTTTGCCTTGATATTACACTCCAGAGAGTGGAAGTCTGAAATTGAGATGGCACAGAGCTGAGTGTTTGGAAACACACTCTTTCCAGCTGCACTCTCATGTGGCCTTATTTAGGGCATGTAAATAAGTGCCTCTTTCTGTAAAAGTGACAGGCGATCATTATGTGACCTGTGGGTCACATAATTCTAATGATCTTCAAAAAGGCTACCTTCCAACAATATCACTCATCCATTTCATTTGTACTGGCAAAGGGTGCTTTTTCACTTGTTAGTGGAATACCTTTTTACCTGTCAATTAGGCCATGATCCAAACATGATCTTACCATGGATGAGCCATCTGCCTCCACCCACCAGACTGAGACCAAGACCAAGACTATAGATTTTCACTCACCACATTTCCACTGCCAAAGACACATAAATATTCCCATTCCTAAACTAATGCACCTCATTTCTCTGGGCGCCCACCCTCCACTCTTGAGTGCACACTAAAATGTCTAAGGCAAACTTCTCATGCCTCTTTTATGAAAATTTCAGTGTTTAGAATGTATCAAAAGGGGTTGATTCATTGCAGCAAATAATGAAAAAAATTCTTCCAAGATTTTTCTGGGGGCCAGGGAGATGGTTCAGTGGAATAAGTGCTTCCCTAGCAAGTGCAAGGGCCTGAGTTTAATCCCCAGTTCTGAAAAAAAAAATTTTTTCTGACAGGGATAACCAGAAGGTTTGAGTGAAATTTAATGAGGTAATGCCTGTTACACCTGATCAGAAAATGCACTATAGAGCAATGTGCCACACCACCCTCAGTTCTAGTAATTTCTGCTGCGTCCATACTGTTTGCCCAAGAGGAGTAATCACACTCACATCTGCATCTCCTGTTCAGACAAGCATGGCCACACTATCTCCCCTTCCTTCAAAAACCTTTGCTTTACCCTGTTATCCTGCTGATTTCTTAGAATTCAGACCACTCCCACTAGAGCAAATAAACAGCCCTGGTTGCGTACTCAAAATTTTCTCTCTCCTCTCTGGGACTTTACAATGTATGGTGTAAAAATCCTGGATAGCTGCCGTGTTCCGGGAACCCCCAGGCCCATTCCAAGCCCAGGTCCAGTGAGTGTGTGGGAGAGCTTGCTGTTACCCTGAGCTGGTGGGACTAGTCCCACCCCAGGAACAGCGTGGGAATGACCCTCTTTCACCCCCTTGGGCCACCACCCACCACTCCGCAGCAGCCCCCCACACTGCCCGCCAAGTAGGAATTTCTGCTGCGCCAGAAACCACCAGACCCAGTCCTAACCCAGGTCCAGTGAGTGTATGGGACAGCTTCCTCTTCTCCCTACTTAACCTTGCCCCCTCCAGGCACAACTTAGGCCTGGCATTCACGCCTGGGGTGTAACCCTGCAGCTGAAATCCCTGCAGAGAGTGTAGAGGATAGATTCACACAGCGAGTCCAGGAGCAGAACATCTTGCCACAGGGGCACAACAGGTTCAAACTCAAGGGCAGCACTGAGGAGGAGCTGAGCACAGCAGCCAGACCCAAGCCAGACACAGATTGATAAGTCCAAACTTTGTAGAGCTGCACCTGAACTTCAGTACGTGCAAAGGTTATAACTACAGCAAAGATCTACAACAAAGGTCAGAAGACAGTGCTACACAAAATGACAAGAAGGAACAAAATGCAACCTCAGAACCCAACCACACACGTAACAAGTGCAGAGGACACTAACACAGAAAAAATTAGAAATCACACAGCTGAAAGCAATAAATCAACGGCTTCTGAAATAAAGAAACAACTGCAGAAAGATATAGAGGACATCAGATTGGAAATAAAAAAGAAATCCCTGAATTAATAACATCTGCACTAAAGAATCAAATGCAGAAACATGTGGAAGAAACCCAGTGCCCACCCAGAACAAGTGCGGAGGACACTAGCTTGGCTCAAATGCATGAATTAATAGCGTCGATACTAAAAAAGCAACAACAGAAAGATATAGAAGAAATCAGAGCGCAATTCTTTTCTGAAATAAAAAAAGAACACTTAGAACTCATAGTATCTGAAGAAGTAACTACAGAATCATAAGGAGGAAACCCAATCTGAAAAAAAACACTGCTGTAAAAGAATTTATAACTGCTTCTAAAGAAGATATTGATAAAAAAAACAGAGGAGATTAGAAAAATGACGGATTCCTTCAATGAGCAATACAGGAAAGAAATACATCACATGAGGCAGAGTCAAAGAGATATAGAGGAAATTAAAATCTCAATCACAAGCTTGCAAAACGGTTTAAGCGAATGTGAAGACAGAGTTTCAGATCTTGAAGATGCTGGTGTAGCTAGTGAAAAGGTAAGAAAGGATCTCTTTAAAAAAAAGAGGATGGAGGAAAGAATAATCCATCACCTGCAAGATGAGGCAAAGATGAACAATGTGAGACTAACAGACATCAATGAGAAAGAAGGAGTCAATACAAATGACATTTAAAAAATATGGGGAGAAGTAATAGCAGAGAACTTCCCAAATATGAAGAAACAATCTGACATTCAGGTAACTGAAGCATACAGAACGCCAAGGAACCTCAGCCCAATGAAAAACACACAAAGACATATAATAGTCAAGATTTCAGAAATTCAGCACAAGAATAATCTACTGAAAGCAGATAGAGAAAAGAAGCAGATCACACTCAAAGGAAAACCCATCAGAATTACGGCTGACTTCTCTAAACAAACCATGCAGGCATGAAGAGCATGGAGTAGAGTACTTCAGGTTCTCTATGAAAACAAATTCCAGCCCAGACTACGATACCCTGCAAAACTGTCTTTCAAGTTTGATGGAGAAGTGAAATACTTCCATGACAAAGAACAGCTAAAAAATTTCGCGATGACAAAGCCAACCTTACACAGGCTACTGAAAGATG